TCAGGGTACTTCAGTGAGAGGGCACCTGCTGAAGTACAAGCTGTATCCACGCTGTTGGCTGAAAAAGTGAGTCGGTTTGGGTTTTCTTGTAGGACACATAAGGTTTTTGTCCCAGTGGCACGCAGGGAGGAGAGCCTGGGGTTAACTAACGGCACAGGCAAACCTAAAGGTGCCACGCAGAAGTAGCCAAGGTTTCCAATGGAGGTCCTAAGAAATCAGTAGTTTTTTTTTTTTTTCCTCCCTTATGCTTCACTACCTTGCTACGGATTTAGGTGCTGGCTTTAAGTTTGAAAATAACAACCTTGGCCTTAAAAAACCTGATTTCACAAGAACCGGTGTCCCGGCCGCCCCCAGGCCAGGGAGCAGGACGTTCGCCAACCTCCGAGCTGCCCAAAGCTGGACCTCAAGCAAGCCTAAGTCAGCAGAGACTCCAGTGACATTAAGCTGGCTCCCGCTCAAGCGTGTGGGACGGGCACCATCTTCTTGCAAGTGCCTACAAGATCGTTTGATCCCCTGAAGAAAGGAGGGAAGTGCTGAACAGGGTGTGTGAAAGCTCAGGTAAATACTCAAGGTCTTCAGCATTTGGTGGTTGGTGGTTGTTTTTTTTAAAATCAAGAGGTAGAAGAGATACTTCATGTTCATGCTTGCTCTAAACGTGATGCAACCACTGCGTTACTCATCTTCAGGTGCCACCTTCCAGAGGACACCGAGGTCTTTGGTCTGCTGCTGCAGAGGTTAGGGCAGCTCTTCAGGTTTGCTCTCTTGCACAAAGTCCCCTGAATATATTAAAAAATAAAAACACCAACCCCGTTTGTGTTTGATGTCTTCCCTTCGCCGCCGTTTCTTTACGCCGAGACTTGGGGAGCTCCAGCCAACGGCACAAATCCTTCCTTCACGCATGGAGGGGAAGGGTGGCTTCTCTCCGCCTCGTCCGGAGAAAGCAACGGCCGCTGGCCTTACAAGGAGTTAATTCTTCAGCGCTGTGAGGCTTTCTTCCAAGGCATCGGCTTCAGTCACACCTTGTTTTTTCTGGAAAAACTTCACATAGTTGGAGAGAAGCTGCTACGATCAAGCTCCCCGCTCCAGAGGCGACCTTAAGAATAAGACCCCCAGCCAGCATCAACCGGCAGCGCCCAGGAGCAAGGCTGACTGTCCAAAAGATGATTTTCAGGGATGAAAGCAAAGCCCTTGTTCTCACCTGGGCTTCCCTGAAGCAGCGAGGTTATTTCAGACTCCTCCCCGGGCTGCTGGACTTGTAGCAAAGCTGGTGGAGAAACCCACAGGAGAAGGGAGGTGGCCCGAAACGCTCAGCTGGGTTTGCAGTTTGGGGAGCCCGGAAAGGGGACGGATGAAAGCAGGACTGGTCTGGTGGGTTTGGGTTTGTTTGCGTTGGATTCATGCCCTGATTTGACATTTGGATTAAAGGGCGAAGGAAGTCAAAAGCCAAAATCTGCCATAAAAATAAAGCAGAGGGTGTAACCCAAGGAGAGTCAGTCGAGGAGTTTCACTTAGTAACACCCGTGATTCAGCCAGCCTCTTTCATTCCCAACAATTCCCAAACTCCTTACAAACCCACCGGCCCTTCAGCTGCCACCAAAACAGCAAAGCCACCCAGCCCCTATAATCTAAGCGTGAACTGGGTGCTTGGGATCTCCAAGTTTTTTAACCCATAACTGAGAGAAGTCAACCCTACCTGGCCAGAGGGTACATCACCCACGCAAGATGCATAAAACTTCCAGAAGATAAAGTTCTCTTGAGACCTTCTCTCTTTTACACCTAAGAAACAAAACACAACCAGTGCCAAAATAACCGGCGGAGGAATGTCTTGGGGGCAGCCACAACCGTCTTTCCCAATCCATACCTGCGAAGCGACGGGGCAATGAGACGGGTACGGCTTAACGGGATACAGAACAGCACGTCCACGGCCTCTGGGATGTCTTGCGGGCGATCCTGAGCCGCCCACCTCTGCGGCTCACGTCAAGCAGGGCGGCGCAGTGCGATGGGACAGCAGGAGCGGAGTGCTGGAGGTGCCTCTCTGATGACCTGCCACGGCCTCTTGTATCAGTAAGTGGAGTTATTCTCAGCAATTCACAGGCCGGGAGAGACCGTAAGCCAAATCTGATCCCCAGCGTAGCCCTCGGCCCCCCTGTTAGGGCAATGTTATCTCCAAAGCTTCTAATTTTCATCTTAACTTGAGACGGCTGCAGTGACTCCTAGCTCTCCAGACTATACCTGTGGCAAGGATGATGCCGCTACTCGGGCAGTAACTGCTAACTGCCACAAAAATGGCACTCCGAGATATTAAGGGAAGCCAAAACATCGCATCGGTTTAATTTGGCATCTACTCTGCCTCTACTCTGAGCTGTAAAACACAATAGCTCAGAAGATGCTTCACAACCAGCTGAGAAATCCCTGCGGGATTAAAAGAACTGAGGGCTAGACAGGTTGGTTAAAAGATTAAAAAGAATCTCAATCTCAGCTTTCACTTGTAGTTTAGAAACCCAGAAATGCACAAGCAAACACCCATCGGGTCATCAACAGCCATGGCATGATCCGGCCACCTGCCCCAGTACCAGGGCACTCCCGGGAACAATTCGGCTGTTGTTTTCTAGCTCGTTGGCTCTCAAAGGACTTTCCTGGAACACCTCTCCCTCCAGACACGGCTGTAACAAGTGAACGTCTTAAGAAAACTGTTACTGAAGGAGTCTGGCTATCGCCACCAAATAAGAGGGGCTTAGCTCTCCCTCCGGCATGCATGCATTGATCAGCAGGACCTCTTAAAAGAGATTAAAAAAAAACAAACCAACAAACTTTAGGACTTACCAGAGAGGTGACTTTTAAAAGAGAAGAAAAAAAATGAAGACGACATAAATGGGAACTTGTAATTTTATTCTGGGTTGTTCAAGGAGCCTTTTGTTTTTACACTGGGAACTCGGACGTTACCGTTTCATTATTTCACCAGCTTAGGCAATGTTAAAAAAGCAGCCTAACAAGGGATTTGAATTTGAACCAAGAGGGAAGGTTTTCACCCCAGATTACCAAAAGGTGCATTTTCCTAACACATATTTATCTGTAAGGACATGCATGTTGGGCAGAGGAAGCTTTTCTTGAAAGATACAATACAAAACCTTTATCCTGTCAATCACAGGGACGAATCCCACAATAAACATTTCTAGGGCTTCCCTGAGCTTCTTGGCAATTTCACATTTCTGATACACAAAAATCACAATTATAACAGACAATCCCCCAAAAGAGCAGGATCTCAAACTTTTTTCTGTCCAGCTCTGCATGATACAGCACAGCAAAAAACCCACAAAAACCACA